GTGAGTTATTCTCAAATTTCCATATAAGGAAAAGGAGTCTGTGGTTTATTTAATCTTATGTTTATCCAGACACAATTTTTTTTTTTGCCCTACTTTCCTTCTGCACAATCCTACTCACAAGTAAGCATTATTCGTTGTCTCTAATGTGTGTCCAATAAGAGGAAACCCTTGGGTTTAAAAATATTCATGTGCAATACCTCCTTCACAGTAGTGACTAGTACCAATAGCAGGGGTCAATTGTTGGTATCGATTGTAGGCATGTCTCTGGCGCAGTGCTGGAAACTTTTCCCATGCTGCTTCGCATGATCATCACAGCAGGCCTGTGCGGGGCGGGGTGTGGGGGCGGGTGGAATTCCATTTCCTTCCTAGGCAGAGCTGCTCATGGGAGCCCTGCACCTGAGAGCAGAGGTGACCTGCCCAAGGGAGTATTGCAATTTAGTGGCAATACCGACTCCAGGCTTCCCACCCCTGTTCTGGAATCAGACGGGCCTGGGTGGTTTCAGGCAATTTTCATCTCTCTTTGAGTTTCCGTTTCCTTAACCACAAAATGGTGGTAGTGACATTTTCTACACAGAACTGCTATGAAGATTGACTGCTTGCATGCTGTGCCTAGGTCCGTAACTCTTGGTCTCCTTTACTTCCCCCAGCGAAGCCTCCTTCTGGATACTTTTCATTTGTAGATTTCTCCATGCTTGTTGAGGTGTGGAATGAGTCCCCTCCTTTATAGGAAACTGCCCCTAAGGAGCTTACATGGATGGAGAGAAAGGAAATGGACATGATGGTCAGTCATTTGATGTGAGAGTAGAAAAGAGGGGAGCAGGAAAAAAGTACCCCTGGGATTCAGAGACATCAAAGACTAGGAGGAGACAGACTCACTGGGAATAATTTTCGATGAGGATGAGGGTATTGAGGGTACACATCTGTGTGTCCCCAGCACCTGGCATGCACTGCTTGAACTGAACTGGGCCTCTGAGTCTGGATGTCAGGGAGATCACTATGGTCTGATGTGGCCTGAAGTAGGACAGGAAGGAATCCTGCCCTTCCTGTCACACCCCTCACCCCACCCTCTGTCTTGGGAAGCACCCTAGAACTCCTGGAGCAGGCCAATGGCATTTGCTGGGGAGAAAGAGGGTGCCCAGAGTAGACAGACACGTGGACCAGCTCAGGGTCAGTCTTGGTTGGTGCACCCTCTGTCGGGGAGACCATGTCACATCACCAAACTCCAGAGACTTCCCAAATGTTCCTCTCTTCCCAGCTAGCCCTGAAGGGAACCCTCTGGGGCATGTGCCACCCAGACTCAAACCCCATGTCAGGCACGTGGCCTGAATTTTTTGTCCCAATGGCTGACTCTTGCTTCTGACTGGGACACCAGCTTCTTCTAAGTAAGCCCAGTCCTGTTTCCATTCGGCTGCCCGGTACTCTCTGGGCCCTGAGGACACTTAAAGGCCTGCATCTCACACCTGCACGGTCCCGAGCTCAGGTATCCAAAGGCAATATCCTGAAGGAACTTTATTCACTGCCTGTTTGGGGGGGCGTGCCTGCGTAAAGCAGGCAATTTTATACACACCTTCATTTCTCACTCCCAGTGTTGGCAGCAGTCAGGAAAGAACATCCTCATACTGTTGGTGAGAGCTTTCAGTGGACTCCAATTTCCAGAGGCCAAGTTGGAACCACGTACATGAAAAGACTTAAATGTGCCTTAACTTGTGACCCAGCGATTCCTCTTCTAGGAATTTATCCTAGGCAAGTGTACAAAGACATGTGTACAAGACGGTTCAGCAGAGGATTGCTTTAAAAAGAGTAAAGACAGCCTCCAAAATTCCAACATCAGGGGATAGGTCAAATAAACCATAGTACCTCAATAAACTGGAATCCAGCTAGCTGTAAGAAACAGTGGTGTAGCTCTACACATCTGTATCTATATAGAATGATATATAAGTGATTATATATGTGGTTACAAAAGTATGTAGTGATAATAGGTAGCACTTACCAAGTGCTTACTATGTGCCAAGCACTATTCTAAGAACTCCACAGATATTAGCTCATTTAATCTGCACACAGTGACAGTTGGGAAAGAACTGTTACTGATCCCATTTTACAGGGACTCAAAGAGGTTCTGTGCTCAAGCCACACACTAGTGACTAAGCTGAAACAGTCTCCAGAGCCCACGTTCCTGAATACCACGATTCTGCTTCTCAGTATAGGGTCCTATGTGTGCTAAAACAAAATGAATGGGGGAGGGGGGTGTGTTTAAGAAAGTCTGGAAGGATTGGAATGAGAATATTAATTGAGGCATTATCATAGGAATACATTTTTTAAAAAAAAACTTAACACACTGCTGTTTTTCATTTCAGTTAGATAAATTTGCTGTGTAATATTAGAGATCATTCCCCTAGTTCTACACGATACCCGTGCTTATGAGGAGGTTGAAGACCAAACGGCACTCTTTCAGACGGTGGGTTGAGTGTCACTAATTTTGACAAAGGGTTGAGAAGGATCAGCTCTGGTTTTTTTCAGTTTCAAGTCTGTACCACTGAGGAAGTCTCTTCAGTGGTCTTTCTAAACAGTTCAAATAATCTTTAAAATTCTCCACATGTTGAAGGTATATAAAAGTATAAAGGGCCCAGGGACACTTTTAATGCTATGGAATGATCCCTGGCATCCTTTGAATTTAAAATCACTAATTTTTTCCCTTTTTTTGACTGTTTTAAGAAAAGAAAAAACGGGACGGGGTCGGTGATGTGGAGTGCTTGCAGAACAGTCTTTGTTGTATTAAAACCGACATTCTTTATGCCGTGTTTCATTTAGGAGCTGTTTCCACACCAGCTTCTCCAGGGGCCCAGGGGTTGCCATACCTTCTGCCACTCTGAGTCCTGCTTCCCTACCTCCTGGTCCCAAGGCCTGCCTTTTCCTGAAATGCTCCTCCTTGGGGCTGCGCTAGGAAACGGTTTCTCATGCTAGAGCAGCTCAAAGAGTGAAGGTAGCCAGGAGTCAACAGTGCTTTAAAACACACCTCAGAATGGCAGCACCCTCCTCTGCGTCCATCCCCAGGCCAGGCCTCTGCGTGACCTACCTCAGTTGGCACTCACATTGGCCTATCAGGTGTGATTTTCTTTTTTTGAGTTGAAGTGTAGTTGATTTACAGTGTTGTGTTAATTACTGCTGTACAGCAAAGTGATTCAGTTATAGATATATATATTCTTTTCCATTATGGTTTATCATAGGATATTGAACATAGTTCTCTGTGGTATACAGTAGGACCTTGTTTTTTGTGCATTCTATGTATGAAAGCTTACATCTGCTAACCCCAACCTGCCACTCCATCCCTCCCCCAACACCCTCCCCCTTGGCAACCACCAGTCTCTTCTCTATGTCCGAGATTCTGTTTCATAGGTTCATTTGTGTCATATTTTAGATTCCACATATAAGTGATAACATATGGTATTTGTCTTTCTCTTTCTAACTTACTTCACTCAGTATGATAATCTCCAGTTGCATCCATGTTGCTGCAAATGGCATTATTTCATTCTTTTTTATGACTGAGTAATAGTGATCCATTGTATATATGTACCATATCTTCTTTATCCATCTATTGATGGACACCTAGGTCGTTTCCATGTTTTGGCTATTGTGAATAGTGCTGCTGTGAACATAGAGGTGCATGTTTCTTTTTGAATTATAGTTTTGTCCAGATATATGGCCAGGAATAGGATTGCTGGATCATATGGTAATTCTATTTTTAGTTTTCTGAGGAATCTCCACATCATTTTCCATAGTGGCTGCAGTAACTTTCATTCCCACCAACAATGTAGGAGGGTTCCCTTTCTCCACACCCTCTCCAGCATTTGTTACTTGTAGAATTTTTAACGATGGCCATTCTGACTGGTGTGAGTTGGTACCTCATTGTAGTTTTGATTTGCATTTCTCTAATAATTGGTGATGTTGAGCATCTTTTCAAGTGCCTATTGGTTATCTGTGTTTCTTCTTTGGAGAAATGTCTATTTAGGTCTTCTGCCCATTTTTGGATTGGGTTGTTTTTTTTTTTGTTATTGAGTTGTATGAGCTGTTTGTGTATTTTGGAAATTAAGCCCTTATTGGTCACATTGTTTGCAAATATTTTCTCCCATACTGTAAGTTGTCTTTTTGGATTTTTTTTATGGTTTCCTTTGCTGTGCAAAAGCTTGTAAGTTTGATTAGGTCCCATTTGTTTATTTTTATTTCTATTGCCTTGGGAGACTGATCTAAGAAAACATTGGTACGATTTATGTTGGAGAATGTTTTGCCTGTGTTCACGTCTAGAAGTTTTATGGTGTCATGTCTTATGTTTAAGTCTTTAAGCCATTTTAAGTTTACTTTGTGGAAAAAATATGGAATGCTGCATGAATTTGCGTGTCATCCTTGCTCAGGGGCCATGCTAATCTTCGCTGTATTGGTCCAATTTTAGTATATGTGCTGCCGAAGTGAGCACCGGGTAGGTGTGATTATCCCAAGTTTTTAGAACATGAAGTTGATATTCAGAGAGCTTTGATGACATGCCCAAGGTCCCACAACCACAATTTAAATAAAAATTTGGTTTCAAAGTATGCGTTTTCCTCTTGACACTGTCCTGACTTGTGGTGATTTACTCAACTGAGTTGCTTTGCTTTCTTTCTTTGGCTTTTTTTTTAAGCGGGGGAGTAAGGGGTAGAGAGTTTGGGCACAAGGGAGCATGATTTTTTTTTTTTTTAAGTAAAAATGATTTTTTTAATTTTATAAACATGAATGCATCTTAGTGTTTCTAGAAGGTAGGTTAACTAGATAAATTTCAGTGTTTAAAGACACACACACACACACACACACACACACACACACACACACACACCCCTTCTCTTACGGTTTATAAATGATTCTAAGGACTGTACTGATTGAAAGATTATGGTGCCCTGACCTGGACAGTCCAAAACCCGATTCTGTTCTCTACCCCTTCTACACAGTCATGGATGACACAATGATAGCATCAGTAGAACAAAATATATGGCATTTATTAAACATGTGACATAGGTTATAATATCAAAGTAGAGCATGCTTGAACAAATCACTCATTCCTTTAACAAAAACACCAACTGATATCAAAAACATTAAGTGATTAAATTTCCACAACATATAAAATTCTCTTTCAGTTAAAGTGAGAAAGAAAGAAAAAATAAATCACAGGTTGAATAAATACAGTGATTTCAGCTGGCCCCTGAAAGGCATAAGGCACAAAGTAAACCAAGGGGTTAGCACGTCAGAATGAAGCGTGTTTGCCCACACGAGGACCGGCTGCAGCCGAGGCTCCCACACCCCTGCACAGGTCCTCGACACCTGCCCCTTCCTTCCCAGGGTCACATTTCCCCATGTGCCTGCACTCCTGTGGACAGGCTTCCCTGTAGCAGAGAAACACCGCCTCTAATACTTCTACGGGTAAATAAAACCTTCATGCTGTAACAAATGATCCTGGCAATAAGTAACATGAAATTTCAAGATAATGCCTTATTTCCTCCCAGCCGAATTCTAGTAAAACAGAAAATAGTGAGGGATTTCTCCTGACAGGACTCAGTGTCCGCATGGAAAGCTAATGACGGCCCAGTACAGCAGGGTACATACACTGGTTGGGTGTTTGAAATATGACCTTGAAACCTCTCTCTCCTGCCTTCCCCCTCCCCCTCCACTTTCCTTCATGTTTAAGAAGTGGATCAGAACCTCAGCAGTTTCCACTGCAGCTTAAACAGTGTATAGGACGAAGCAACAGTCACCCTTTCCAGACTTCAGGCCGCAGGGTTCCAGGGCCTTTGTCCATCAGTGAAAAGTGCACGTCTCCAAGTGCTTAAGTCAGAGTTTTCTTCATGGTTAACTCCAGGACTCGTGTGTATGGGGTATAATTCCTGGAAGCCACTGCGATCTCACGAGTCCTGCCTGTTTGGCTGAGAAATGAGAAAATGCAGTCAGGAATATGAAACAAAACTTACCGTATGCTTCACGTGGTAAGATAACTCTAGGAAATCCTTTTCAACACTTAAAAATAGACTGCAGTAATGTAGTTGAATATTTCATTTAAATATTATGAGGGAGGGAGAGAAAACCATAATTCAAAAAGAGTCATGTACCACAATGTTGATTGCAGCTCTATTTACAATAGCCAGGACATGGAAGCAACCTAAGTGTCCACTGACAGATGAATGGATAAAGAAGATGTGGCACATATATACAATGGAATATTACTCAGCCATAAAAAGAAACAAAATTGAGTTATTTGTAGTGAGGTGGATAGACCCAGAGTCTGTCATACAGAGTGAAGTAAGTCAGAAAAACAAATACCATATGCTAACATATATATATAGAATCAAAAAAAAAAAAAGATGCTGAAGAACCTAGAGGCAGGACAGGAATAAAAACGCAGATGTAGAGAATGGACTTGAGGACACAGGGAGGGGGAAAGGTAAGCTGGGACGAAGTTAGAGAGTGGCGTGGACATATATACACTACCAAATGTAAAATAGATAGCTAGTGGGAAGCAGCTGCATAGCACAGGGAGATCAGCTCGGTGCTTTGTGACCACCTAGAGGGGTGGGATAAGGAGGGTGGGAGGGAGACGCAAGAGGGAGGCGATATGGGGATATATGTATATGTATAGCTGATGCACTTTGTTATAAAGCAGAAACTAACACACCATTGTAAAGCAATTATACTCCAATAAAAAAAAAAGTACATTAGTGGTTGCCAGGGCCTAGGAGAAGGAGGGGATGGAGTTTGACTGCTAAGGGGTACAGGGTTTCTTTCTGGGGTGAGGGAAATTTTCTAAAATTAGGTAAGTGATGCTGGTTGCACAACTTTGTAAATATACTAAAAACTATTGAATTGCACATTTTAAAAGGATGAATTCTATGCTATGTGGATTACATCTCAGTAAAACTCATTTAAAAAAGAAAAATGAGGGACCATTATTTTTAGCAATTTCTTTAAAAAGTTTTATTGGAGCGTAGTTGATTTGCAATGTTGTGTTAGTTTCAGGTGTACAGCAGAGTGATTCAGTTATACACATACTCATTCTTTTTCAGATTCTTTTCTCATATAGGTTATCACAGAATATTGAGTACAGTTCTCTGGGCTATACAGTAGGTCCTTGTTGGTTATTTATCTTATATATAGTAGTGCATGTATGTTAATCCCAAGCTCCTGATTTATCCCTCCTGCCCACATTTCTTCTTTGATAACCATAAGTTTTCAATACCTGTAAGTCTGTTTCTGTTTTGTAAATAAGTTCATCTGTATCATTTTCAAAAACTAGATTCCACATGAGTCATACCATATGATATTGTCTTTCTCAGTCTGACTTACTTCACTTAGTGTGATAATCTCTAGGTTCGTCCATGTTGCTGCAAATGGCATTATTTTGTTCTTTTTCATGGCTGAGTAATATTCCATTGTATATATGTACCACATCTTCTTTATCCATTCCTCTGTCAATGGACATTTAGGTTGCTTCCATGTCTAGGCTGTTGTAAATAGTGCTGTAATGAACATTGGGGTGCATGAATATTTTCTAATTGTGGCTTTCTCCAGATATATGCCAAGGAGTGGGATTGCTGGATCATATGGTAGTTCTATTTTTAGTTTTTTAAGGAACCTCCATACTGTTCTCCATAGTGGTTGTACCAATTTACATTCCCACCAACAGTGTAGGAGGGTTCCCTTTTCTCCACACCCTCTCCAGCACTTAACTGTTTGTAGACTTTTTGATGATGGCCATTCTGACCGGTGGTAGGTGATACCTTACTGTAGTTTTGATTTGCATATCTCTGATAATTAGTGATGTTGAGCATCTTTTCATGTGCTTTTTGGCCATCTGTATGTCTCCTTTGGAGAAATGTCTATTTAGGTCTTCTGCCCATTTTTGGATTGGGTTGTTTGGTTTTTGTTGTTGTTGTTTTTTCACATAGAGCTGCATGAGCTGTTTGTATATTTTGGAAATTAATCCCTGTCAGCCACTTTGTTTGCAAATATTTTCTCCCATTTTGTGGGTTGTCTTTTCGTTTCATTTATGGTTTCCTTTGCTGTGCAGAAGCTTTTAAGTTTAATTCGGTCTCATTTGTTTATTTTTATTTTCTTTTTTATTTTTTTATTGAAGTATAGTTGATTTACAATATGATGCCAATCTCTGCTGTTCAGCAAAAGTGACTCAGTTATACACATACAGGCATTCTTTTTTTATATTCTCTTCCATTATGGTTTATCATAGGAGATTGGATATAGTTCCCTGTGTTATATACATTAGGACCTTGTTTATCCATCCTATCTATAATAGTTTACATCTGTTAATCCCAAACTCCCAGTCCTTCCCTCCCCCAATGCCCTCCCCCTTGGCAACCACAAGTCTGTTCTCTATGTCTGTGAGCCTGTTTCTGTTTTGTAGATAGGTTCATTTGTGCCATATTTTAGATTCCACATATCAGTGATATTATATGGTATTTGTTTTTCCCTTTCTGACTTACTTAGTATGATAATCTCTAGTTGCATCCGTGTTGCTGCAAATGGCATTATTTCATTCTTTTTTATGGCTGAGTAGTACTCCATTGTATATATGTACCACATCTTCTTTATCCATTCATCTGTTGGTGGACATTAGGTTGTTTCCATGTTTTAGCTGTTGTGAACAGTGCTGCTGTGAACATAGGGGCGCATGTATCTTTCTGAATTATAGTTTTGTTTGGGTACATTCCCAGGAGTGGGACTGCTAGATCACACGGTAATTCTATTTTTAGTTTTCTGAGGAATCTCCGTACTGTTTTCCATAGTGGCTGTACCAACTTACGTTCCCACCAGCAGTGTAGGAGGGTTCCCTTTTCTCCCCATCCTCTCCAGCATTTATTTGTAGACTTTTTAATGATTGCCATTCTGACTGATGTGAGTTGGTACCTCATTGTAGTTTTGATTTGCATTTCTCTAATAATTAGTGATGTTGAGCATCTTTTCATGTGTCTACTGGCCATCCGTATGTCTTCTTTGGAGAAATGTCTATTAAGGTCTTTGGCCCATTTTTCGATTGGGTTGTTTGTGTTTTTGTTGTTGAGTTGTATAAGCAGTTTGTATATTTTGGAGACTAAGCCCTTGTCTATTGCATCATTTGCAAATATTTTCTCCCATTCTGTAGGTTGTCTTTTCATTTTTATATGGGTTCCTTTTCTGTGCAAAAGCTTCTAAGTTTGATATGGTCCCGTTTGTTTATTTTTATTTCTATTGCCTTGGGAGACTGACCTAGGAAAACATTGGTATGATTTATGTCAGAGAATAAATTCTAGAAGTTTTAGAAGTGTTATGGTGTCAAGTTCTAGAAATTTTATGGTGTCATGTTTTATGTTTAAGTCTTTAAGCCATTTTGAGTTTATTTCTTTGCATGGTGTGAGGGTGTGTTCTAACTTCACGGACTTACATGCAGCTGTCCAACTTTCCCAGCACCACATGTTAAAGAGACTTATTACTATTTTATATTCTTATCTCCTTGGTTGAAGATTAACTGCCTATAGGTGTCTAGGTTTATCTCTGGGCTCTCTATTCTGGTCCATTGATCCGTATGTCTGTTTTTGTACCAATACCACACTGTTTTGATTACTGTGGCTCTGTAGTATTGTTTGAACTCTGGGAGAGGTATGCCTCCTTTTGTTTTTTCCCTCAGGATTGCTTTGGCAATTCTGGGTCTTTTATGGTTCCATATAAAGTTTTGATTGTTCTAGTTCTGTGAAAAATGTCATGGGTATTTTGATAGGGATCGCATTAAATCTGTAGATTGCTTTGGGTAGTATTGCCATTTTAACAATATTAATTCTTCCAATCCAAGAGTATGGGGTATCTTTCCATTTCTTTGGATCCTTTTTAATTTATTAATGTTTTGTAGTTGATAGCACGTAAGTCTTTCACCTCCTTGGTCAGGTTTACTCTGAAGTATTTTTTTTGGTGGTATTTTTTTTTACATTCCCTTTCTGATATTTCATTGTTAGTGTAAAGAAATGCAACTGATTTTTGGATGTTAATCTTGTATTTTGCTACTTTACTTAATTCATTTATTAGATCTAGTGATTTTTGTGTAGAGTCCTTAGGGTTTTATATATATAGTATCATGTCATCTGCAAACTGACAATTTTTCATCTTTCACTTTTTCTTTTTTTTTTTTTTCTTTTTGCTGTGGCTAGGACTTCCAATACTATGTTGAATAGAAGTGGTGAGAGTGGGCATCCTTGTCTTCTTCCTGAATTTAGTAGGAAGGCTTTTAGCTTTTCACTGTTGAGTATTATATTGGCTGTGGGTTTGTCATAAATGGCTTTTATTATATTGAGATATATGTTCCCTAGGAGGTGGATCCAAAAAGTTACTGCTGTGATTTATGTTCAAAGAGTGTTGCCTATGTTTTCCTCTAAGAGTTTTATAGTGTCCGGCCTTACATTTAGGTCTTTGATCCATTTTGAGTTTATGTTTGTGTATGGTGTTAAAGAATGATCTAATTTCATTCCTTCACATGTAGCTGTCCAGTTCTCCCAGCACCACTTATTGAATCCACTGTATATTCTTGCCTCCTTTGTCATAGGTTGACCGTATGTGCATGGGTTTATTTCTGGGCTTTCTGTCCTGTTCCATTGATCTATATTTCTGTTTTTGCACCAGTACCATACTGTTTTGATTACTGTAGCTTTGTAGTATAGTCCGAAGTCAAGGAGCCTGATTCCTCCAGCTCCATTTTTCTTTCTCAGGATTGCTTTGGCTATTTGGAGTCTTTTGTATTTCCATACAAATTTTAAAATATTTTGATCTAACTCTGTGGAAAATGCCATTGGAAATTTGATAGGGATTGCATTGAATCTGTAGGTTGCCTTGGGTAGTATAGTCATTTTGATAATATCGATTCTTCCAATCCAAGAACATGGTATCTCTT